GCTGTCCCCGGGTTCTATCGGGTTTTTTTTTGGAAAACGATGCCCAAAGGGTTGAGAGAGCATTGGGGCGGTCTGACAGTCGGAACGAGCGTAGTTGCACTCCCTGCAATGCACATTATGCCGAATTTGGCGATGCTTCGTGACGCCGCCGCCGAAAAATCCACCAGATAAGCTCGATTTTGGGGCAGATTCAACCAAGGGGACGGTACGATGTTGTCCCCGGGCCAAAACTCTTTTTTTTTTTTGACATGAAGGAAAACATATGTGCAACACATCACGCAGGTCCACTAGTAAAAAATACTACTCATCATCCCACAATATCGGGCCCTTTTCAAATCGAGCTTATCTGGTGGATTATTCCAATCGAGCTTATCTGGTGGATCAGAGGAAGTACGTATTAGTGGTTACCACGCTGTACATGTGCTACCCAATCTGTCTTCAACAGCAATGCCTCGCGATACTGCTGTATACGATATGCATGCGCTATGTAGGTGGCGATGTTCATCAGATCCTTCTGGGACGGGCGTTCAAGGCTCGATACTCCACTGCCAAGACGGTTACCATGCCGAACGACACGTGATGGGTGGGAAATATCTGGATGAGGGATTTCTAACCCCTCGCTTTTCGGCATCGCTAGTCCACTGCTGTGCAGAAATCGAGCTTTGCATGTAGACCCGAGGGGGTCTGATATTTACCGTCAAACAGGGAATCGGTGCATGTTTTTACACGTCCACAAGCGCTCCTGTATTAAGATATACACAGCCTCCAATTCGGTCATCTGTGTTTGTGAGTAGATGACACAGTAGCAGGTATCCCCCCCCCCCCCCCCCCCCCCCCCCCCCCCCCCCCCCCCCCCCCCCCCCCNCTCTTGCACACGACTCCTGTCTCTTGTTGGTGCCTTGCTGTGCATGTCAGTACGCAGGAGCACTACACACGACCACCTGCGACGACCCTCCTGCCATCGTGTGTGCCCACTGCCAAAGAGTGACGATGCACCCGACTTTATCTAGATTGCGAAAGGTCATCCCGCCATCCCAGGGACTGTTCGCAGAGGCAAGCAGAGCTTGGCGAGGCATGCAAGCATGATCGCTCCATGGACCCGACAGGCAAGGTGTGTGTGGCGACGGCAGAGGGACGAACAGCAGTAGCCTTCGCAGGGTTCTTTCGGATTTTCTATCATTAATTTAGTTACATGTTGGATAAAGCATGCAGTCGGGGAAGTTGGGTTTGGGTTGGGGATAGGGATAGGGTCCGCGGGCCCCCTCCCTGTTCTATTTCCTCATCACTTATTTTCTCGCGAAATCGGTCCGGGACGAATGCTCTTGAATCTAACCCCGGTGAAGAAGGTCGGACTTGAATTTCGTATAGCACCAGCACGAGCAGCAGGGAGAGAGGTGGGCACCGTTGGACTCTGCCAAACGGTGAGTCGGCGAACGAGCTTTTGCTCCGGGTAGACTGAATCATGACCGTGTTCGTAAGACACCGGAGGTAACGTCGAGAAGCGCTGGAACACGCGAACCATTGCAGAACAATCGACCGTGCTGTGTGCTTAGTGTCTGGCTGCAGCTTACCAGCAAGACGCTGTCCGACGTGAAGGCTTTAGGTTTATTTTTTTTGAGAACGGTGCTGTAGCAGACACGCGCAGTGTGTTGACGAGTAGGTGAAATACGTTGAGCGGAATGAACTGTCTTTCATCAGCCCACCCGAAGACACAACATGTTGAATATACAACATATCCACTGAGCTAAGAAGTCAGCGGCTGACTTGTAGCATAGTGGATGTGCTGTACATCTTAACACAACAACTCGACGCGCCATGATTTTGGCGATACGCATGCCTTCGAGGATATATATGTAGCGGTCGCCACATTTCGGATCCAAATTTGGGTCGGAATGTGGTGATCATCCTTCATCTCGTTTGGCGAGGTTGCAAACGTTGCCCTGTCTCCAAGCAGGTCAGCCGTTGCGTTTCTTTCCGATGCATTCGGCTGCGGCGCGCGAGACGTACGGAATGCCGACGGGAGGACGTGTCTCTTCTACGAAAGACCGAGGTCAAAAGTCTTCAAGAGCACGTATTTTTGTACAGCTGTGCAGTTTTCCGTTGTGAGCTTTGGCACATGCGTTCATGATTCAACGTATCTCCGCTGCCGTTCCTGACTGGACTTTTTCGACCCCACAGAACAAGCTTGAATCGGAGGAGGCGCCTGTTCCAAAGCGCACTCTCCGATTCCCGCTTCCCCAATTCTTCTTGTGCTCCTTGCGCGATCATTTCTGGACAAACTGCTTTTCCCAGGCACGCCAGTTGCAGTGGCGGACAAGCCGAGCCCACCCTGCCCTGCCGCCGGAGGTGCGCGAGTGGACCTTAGCCAGCGTTTCACAGTCTCGGCCGTCAGCAGAGACGCAAGCCCCTGCGGCGACGACGCCGATCTCGCCACCCAGCCGGCTTCCTGTCGTACCTCCAGCGCTCGGTTAGCCCGCGGCGCCATTCGCTGAGTCCCGGGGTAGGCCACCGTTCTCACGGAACACGGAATGTCTCTTGTCCCGTCAACAAGGTCCTGGAAGCAGACAAGAGAGTGAAACCTTTCGTGGTTGACTTGGCGGAAGCTTGGGGCAGGTGGAGGCTTTTGAGATTGAGCCTACAAAGCCTGGTCGTGTCATCGTCGGGAAGGGAAGGGCAACAGCAGTGGTGTCGGCACCGGCAATGGCGGCCGGGAGGGCGGCCGGGAGCGCGGGGACAGTGGCGGCGGTGGTGGTAGCAGTAGGCAAAAGGTCTCCCCCTGCCGGCCCTACCCGAAGACCTTGTTGAATCCCCCAGAGAGTCGTCGAGAGCAAGCCGACCAAATGCCGTTAATATGGGAACACAATAACAAACATCAAATTTAGAAGCGCAACGCAGAAGAGCGGCACGTTCCGAAACGCCGCGGTCCATCCTGTTCGCTGCGTACGACAAGGACGACCTGATCAAGAGTATCGAGAAGCAGAGTAGCAATACTGGGGTGGGACAGTACCATGCGCCATTCGTTCGTATCGAATGTGCTTCCTTACACGATGATTGCTACGCTTTGCTTCGTTGGCGATCGATCATCCATAACTGACTCTAATAGGACCGTTTTCCCCTCACGTTTCGATCCTTACACTGGCTTTGGTGGTGTCGTTGTGTTTGTTGGGTCTGCGATCGATCACAGAGCGGCAGGCCTCATCCACTATCTCCTTGCTGGCTACTTGTTGCCATGCATTGCCTATGTTCTTGACTTGGATGTGTAGCACGGGTGAGGGTAGTTGGAATATTCTACAAGTAGGAGCTTTCGTTCCTCTCTGCTGCGCGGCTGCGTTATTGGTCGAGCGGGGATCTTAGGAGGGGAGCCTTTCGACCGACGGAGAGACAGCAGAGATCTCCATGTGCTGCATGCGTAATTTGCACACCCTTCAAACCACACAACAATATACGTTGTTGATTCAGTGTCTGAGCCGTTGCAACTGCTATTAAGACTCTACATAGCCCGTCTACGAGTAGGTTTAGAAAAGAAAAGTTGTCTGCAACAGACTGCTGAAGCGTCAAATGCGTTGCACGATTGATTCTGGATTAACTACTGCTGTAGTACCGTTCGAGATCAATCCCCATTCGAAGGGATGTATGCGTGACTTGGACTTTGCCGCAGTGAAGGATGAGGATAAAGATGTACAATACTGGACTCGTTTGCGTGTACACGGTGAAGTCACTATCGGCACAAGCATAACCAACCGGAGAGGCTCTGGATTTCAAACTCAAATTTTCAATCATTGCTTGCATGTTGTGAAAGATTACATTACATCCATCCTCCTCTGTTGAAATTTGCAATGTACACATTCGCAATGCTGGTGGCAACTCTTTGAGTCATGAAGGACCTGGAAGGTACTCCATGATATCACGTTTCGGTCGGTCTATGTAAGAAGAGAGGTGAGGGAGTCCACCAGCGCGCAGACTTCCTCGGGAAAGGGCTGCACCGCACACTCGGAGGCTTTTTTCATTTTTCCATTTTTCAAATGTTCTTCCCACCCCTATTATGTTTTTTTTTTTCTCCGAAGGGCTCTCTCCACCGAACGATCGCCGCTGTGCCTCCCACTCCTCTCTCTGCTGTCACCCAACACCCCTCTCTTGCAAAGATGTCTTCGAAGAAGGAGTCCAGCTCGAAGAAGGATTCCAACTTCCTGGTTGACTTCGCCCTGGGCGGAGTCAGCGGAGCCATCGCGAAGACATGCACGGCACCGATCGAGCGCGTGAAGCTCATCATGCAGACTCAGGACGCCAACCCACGTATCAAGTCGGGAGAGGTTGCCCGGTACACCGGTATCCTCAAGTGAGTAGTAGCAAGGCCGGCTCCGGACGGGCAAGCAATGATGGTGCCAACACCAGTCGGGGTGTACTTGCGGTGCACTGGTGTGCAATCAGGTCGCAGCATTTGTGTGGTGTTCTGTATCGAACGAAGAGAAAAACGACTGGTTCTGTGCGTAACAAGACAAGCGAGAAAAATGGAAGTTCGCTGGTCTGATGGATGCTGATGTCATTCGTACAAATTGTTTCGAGAGCGTCTGTTGCCTCGAGGAGGCGGAACTGGTTCCGTTCCCAAGGCGCCATTCCCCTGCTGCTGCACACACAGCCGGTGCTCCAAGGAAGTACTCACGACTCTTTTGTCGATCCGTCTCTCCGCGCGTGCCCTTTTCATGTGTTCCCGCCCATGCCCCATGGCGCCCGCAACAATAAACCTTTTATCAACAACGAACAAAAAAAATCGTGGGGGTGCAAAAGCTGCTTCACCCGCGTGCACCAGGAGCAGGGCCTCGCGGCCTTCTGGAGAGGGAACACCACCAACGTCATCCGGTACTTCCCCACCCAGGCGTTTAACTTCGCCTTCAAGGACCAGATCAAGGCCCTCTTCCCCAAGGTGGGTTGGTGGAGAGGCGGGATCAATGTGCCCCCGCGTCCATACACGCACAACCGTCTAGAAGCGTGCCCGTATTGAGGTATTTCACCGAGTGGAGAAAGAAGGAGAAAGCTTGAGTGGTTGTTTTGTCGCCTTTGCGTCAGGTGCGTGTGCTGCGAAAGCCGCTGATTGAGCGCGCTGCTCACGCGCGGAAGACAGCGTCGAGCTTAACCCCCTTCCCATGCGTTTTCAGCCGCTGCTGCTGCTGCCGCTGCTGCCGTCGGATAAAGCTGGCGAAACTTTTGTTCTGAATACGTAACATGAAATACGTGGCGCGCGTCGTCGGCTTTGTGTGATGGATTTTTCTGCGGTTCGTCACGGAGTGGTGATCGACTTCCAAATTCCAAATCAAGCAGCAGCATATCAGGTTCGAATTACCCGGTTCCGCCACGCGGTGCACCGTACAGCAGCAGCATTAGTAGGTAGCCCTTCTCACTTCTATGAGCCATCTACCTGCACGGAACGCCGCGCTGTGTGGGTTGTACTGCGGGGCTGCTGTTTGGTGTCGATAGTCGACGCGTCCCCACACAGACTCAAAACATAGCATGGCGTGACGGCGAGGCCAAGTGCCTGTGGGGAGATCATCGCTTTCGAGCCGCTGCTGCTGCCCGCACTGCTGTGCTGAGCAGCATGCCCGCGTACTTGTGCAAAGGAGGGCCGCCGCTCTCACGCGACAGACGCGACCTGCACTTTCGTCGAAGTAGGTGTACACGGCAAATACCACACGATGGACCACGACCTTTTTTACAGCGAAGCATATCCCTCTCCTCCGAAGTGTCGGATTTTTGTGGCGAAAGGTTTCTCAATATATCCCACGCCGTATAGAAGCGACAGACTCAACTCTATTCCAGGAACCAGAGAACACAAAATGCGTCTGTTGTCACCAGTCTCATGCATGGGTTTAGTTCATTGGGGTGGAGGGTGAGTCTGACGACAGGCTAGAAATTTCTTCGGCGGGATCGGTCTGTTTCTCAGACTTTCGTTTTGGTTCGTTCCCACGGGCACGGCAGCAAGCTATAGTTGTTGCGGGAGAACAGCGATGCCTGAAGGGCCAAAGAGGATCCTGCTGGTGGTAACATCGCAGCACGAACTCCGCAACGCCTGTACACTCACCCTCGCGAACTCAAACCCCTCAGACGAAGATCCGCATGCGCTCCCTCTTCCTACCTCGTAATGGTGTAGTGTTGGCCTCTATAGTACTTTTGACCCCTCGGTATTCGTTGAAATAAAAGTGATGGATGACATTCAGTGGCGTCTGGAAAGGGTGGACCCACCCTTCTTGCAAAGAAAGAGAGGGTTTGTGGGACATGAGATTTGTTCCGGCAAGTGATTATACAACAGAGAATTTGACACGTACATGCATGCAGCCTCGCGCTGTACCTTATGGAAAAAGATCACGGCGGTATGCATGTACTTCTCATAATGATGTCCACCCTCAGCAAAGAGTCGAACCGCATTACAGCTGTGTGAAGCATATCTAGACGTACACAACGCAAAGTTCTATTTCTCTTCCAACACGCACAGAAAATACAACATAGCTGAACCGCCCGCGATCACCCCCCCTTACATTGAAACAAAACCCCGCACCCTCATCGCTTTCTTCAGGTCAGCCCCAAGGAGGACTTCGCCAAATTCTTCGCCATTAACATCGCCTCCGGTGGTCTGGCCGGCGCGGGTAGCCTTTGCTTCGTGTACCCCCTCGACTTCGCACGTACCCGTCTTGCGTCCGACGTGGGGTCGGGCAAGCGCGACTTCACCGGCCTGTGGGACTGCCTGAGCAAGACAGCCAGGGGCCCGAAGGGCGTGCTGGGTCTCTACAACGGGTTCGGCGTTTCCGTGATGGGCATCATCCCGTGAGTACAAGAGTACCGTTTTTTCCTTTTAGAATATATATACAGCAGTGTGAGCACATCAAGAATCTGGCTGTTTCAGAGATCACAACAGCTACGGGGGGTCGTAAAAAGTCCGTAATCTTGTCTTGCGAGAATGGTGCGTTGAATGTCGGATGCTGCCTGAATCTCACCCCCACGGTGTGCACCCCAACCCCCAATTTGTCTGCCAAGAATTATCAGTGTCCCGCGCGAAGGCAAAGCGGACAGCTCGGGACATTCCGAAAATGCTCCTCAGTGCTCTCTGAGAGCGAACATCGCCGTACGTTGTTGCCAGGAGGCATGACCGATAAACAAGGATAGGGCACGGTGATTCGAACGAGCCATGGAAAACGTGGAAGACGTTTTTGAGCTCGGTCGGACCGAACTTGAAAATCGCCATGCCTGCGCCTTATCGTAGTGCGTCGGTCATGGCCCCTGGCAACAACGTACGGCCATGTCCTCTCTCGAAAGATAACTGTTGGGGGGGGGGGGCGGCATAGTCTGAGTCCCGAGCTGTCAGTTTGACGGTTCACACGGAAGACTATTGCCGTTCTAGGTTGGGGAACATGTTCGGCCTTCAGCATGAGAGCACACCTGTTTGTTGCCGTAGGCACCACTTCCACTACCCGACTCGTTATCTTCATGCGGACATGTCAAACCGTCATATCTCCATGTTTCCCCACCCACATACCACATGCAGGTACCGTGGTGTGTACTTCGGCCTTTACGACACGGGTTCGGCCAAGAACCCCTTCAAGAACGATGCCGGCATCAAGGGGATGACCTCCAAGTTCGCCATCGCCCAGGCCACGGCCATCACTGCAGGTTACGCGTCGTACCCGTTCGACACCGTGCGCCGTAGGCTGCAGATGCAGTCGGAGAAGCCGAGGTCGGAGTGGCACTACCAGGGTGCCTTCGACTGCCTGAAGAAGATCATCAAGGAGGAGGGTGAGTACTGCTACAGTCGTTTTAGTTAATATGTTAACGTAGAGTATGCAGTTGGGTAAAGGTGTATTGAGCTTCAGCAGGGTTAATTTAATGTTGCCTAGCATGTTCGATGAAGTACGTGTGCAATGCAATTGGGGAAGTTTGGTCAGGCCGATACCCTAAGCTGTTTTTTTCGCCTAAGGAACATGTTGGATCAAACACGCAATTTGGAAAGTAGGGGCTGGTAGGGTCGTCGTATGTCCTCGTGAAGGCGGTCGTTAAGAGCACACGGGCATAAGCACTGCGTGACGCACGTGACGTCGACGAGAAGAGCGGCCCACACGTGGTTTCCCCGCCGCTGAACTCGGTTCCTTCAGCCGTGCTGCATATTGGGAGGTGCGCGCTCCAAGGAATGGCAACCGCTTCCGCTTCTAAACTGCTAGGATTCTTGCATGTGTCTTCACAACAGCGAGAGCCACAGCAGGATTTCCACTGTCACTACTCTTCCGTTAGGTTTTCTAATAGCGCCGGAATATGAACACATGATTTGATAGTCTCAGCGATGCGTTCCTTTCTCCCTTCTAACGTGTCGTGAATGCGTGTGCTTTTCGTCGTCTGCAGGGAACTCTGCCTTGTTCAAGGGTGCAAGCGCTAACGTGCTCCGTACGGTCGGGTCCGCCATGGTTCTTGTCATGTACGACCAGTTCAAGACCCTCATGTCACTGTCCTAAAACATGACCAGGACATGCCACGTGTTGACATGTTTGTTCCCCGAGTGGTCTCAGGGTTGACGGATGGGCTTCGCAGCTCCGTGACGCGTTGGGGACGGGTAGTTCACATGTCGTTTTGAGTCGGCGTGGGTTTCCATGATGCCTGACTGGCTTGGGCCGATAGTAGTTGACCCCCTGGCAGCAGCCTACTGCATCCTGCCGGTGTCCGATTCCAAGCCATGGGTAGTGTAGCAGTAGCCCATGGTCGCTGCGCGCGAGCGTGTTGACACAGGAGGGTTGGAAGAGGTGTTGGTGGTGGGTGACACAAAATGAAGAGAGAGGCTGAGACGCATTTGATCATGGTTTTCGCCGCATGTTTTCTACAGCCCTGATATTATCTGTCTCTTTTTTCTGGTAGGGATGACGTTTTCATCCGAACCATTTGCGGTTTTCTGGAGAGTTGGACGTTAACCGATACGCAAGGATTGGAGAGTCGCGAAGTGCTCGCTCTCTCCTTTCTTTCTCACAAGAATTTCGGTTCGCAATTTTGGTCAAATTTTCATATTACTTAATTTCAATCATGCGGTACATGTCTCCTAGCTTTTGGGCTGAAGAAAGCTGGGAATCGCTCACTGGTTTCAATTCTTTTCATCGATGACGAAAACAGAGCGGAATATCCAGCACAAGTCAAGGCAACCCTCGCGTGAACCCTTACTAGGAAGGCTTTGTGATACATGCATCCCCTGGGGAGATCTGTGTCTACTCGACCACTTCCCCGATACACTGTTGACTAGTGTAAAATTCGCACAAAAAATTGTCGAAGCAAATTTTGTTTCCTGGTGTCTTTCTTGTCGGACTGCAAAAAATCTTACCGGGGAGCAAGTGTGGTCCATCAAACTCTGTTGAACGTCCTAGGAATGAACAGGGGCAACAACGATTACATCTTCGTGTACCTAATAAAATTTCCTCATCTTCTAGCAAAGAGGACACACGTGGTTTTGCAGCACGTTTCGACTTCAAAATATTACCGAGATTTGGCTAGGAAGCTCAAAGCTCGTCCATATCATGATAAACGGTGTTATCTTCTTGTGGTCCCATTATTGAACGAATCCCTGACTTCGAAAGGAAGCAAGAGACTAGAGTCTTGCGCTTCGGGATCCTCGGCAGAAAACCCCGTCAAGTTTAAGAGGTATTGCAGTTAGGCCACTTGTTCTGCTGTCTCTATTTGAGCTGTCCCTTTTCTCAAAAAGGAACTGACCAAAAACCACTTATTACGTGGTCTTTTTTGCGTTTTTGAACCTCCCGAAGAGGGACAGCGAAAAAAGATCACCCCATCCTGTCCCTTTTTGGGCAACTTTGTCCCTTTTTGAGTAAAGGGACAGCCCAAAAAGAGAAAGCGTAACAAGTGGCCTTAATGACACAAAAAAAACTCAAAAAACATGGTGTCGCGCATATGCGAAAAAGTAGGGGGGGTAGCGTTTTCCACCATTCGACCCCCCCCAGGAAATGTGCTGCAGCACCTGTAGATCCTGGATCATCAACAGCGGTCTGCTGCAGCCGTGGGCGAAGTCTCGTGACGTTGAATTTGGCATTTGTGTTGTGTTGTGCCTCGTTTTGACCTTCTGGGAGGCGCGGTGTCCTCTTTGTTGCTGTGCTTTCCCGACATTTTTGGTCTCTGTGTTTCTGCGTAACGTACATTTTCCTCGTGTCGTTTTACAACCTTGGATAGTCTATTTCTCAGGCGCGGTAGCGAGATCTTGTTGTGCAAGATATTCACTGGGAGGACAACGCCTAAAATATAAAAGCAAACAATTAAGCCCATATCAACACCAGCGCACTACAGTCGTGCACATGTACGATGCGTAGGTCGTAGAACACCATCGCTTTCAGCGTTTTGGTGGGACAGTACGGGGAAATTCAAAAGATAGATGGTGGTATGCAAGTATGTATGCATGTAATTCAGCACAAAAGCACCAGCAGTGGTTGCGACCTTCAAATCACCTTGTGTCGTAGGTTTCAAAGAAAATCTCTTGTGGTCGCCTTTCTGCTGCGAATGCGCACCTTTTGACATATATTTCGCCTTCGTTGGCCCCGGGGATGATGCGTTAGTGGCCCCGGAATTTCAAAGACACTTCTCCGCCTTGAAGTCACTTTTTTTAGGACAACGTGGTGTGCTTCAAAGCGGGGTCGACTGTATGCAAGCAGACAACCGGGAGAATTTCCGTCACAGAAGAGTACGGCGGAGTGTGTTGTTGCATAGATACGCCGACCATCAGACAAGAGACTGGCAACACTACTACATGTTCCCATTGACGTGCAAACTGGACATTCGTTTTGGAAACAAACGTGGTTTCGAGAGTCACCAGCTGGAAAGTTATGCCGCATACATACGGGCTTCTACACAAGAGCGCCAGCAGGTCAGATCTTGCACTTCATGCTTACAACGGAGAGTGGCGTGAGTGGAGTACTTGGGTGCAACAGTCGTACCCATATGAGTATTGAAATTTCTTATCGTCTGTTCTGTCGCCCGCTTCCTCACGATAGAGGACGCACGAATGCCGCTCTCTCTCTCTCTCGCGACTGCTTGCTGTCTCTTTCATTTCCTCTCATTGTCAGGAAACAAGATTTACGTGAAAAAAAAAAGAGATTGGCGTCGTACGAACACACACCACGTGTGACACCCATATCCCCTTTTCTTTACCCGCGGGCACCATGATGTGTTGGAGAAACACAAACGCGTGTACAAGGCGCAGTATGTACAACTCAAGGATTATGTAGGTGAGGCAATAGCAGTGAAAGCCACACCAGCAAGACAGAGAAACCTGTATGTGTACTGCTGTATCGTTCAAATTTCAAACTGAAACAAGTCCCGCCGAAAAATACAAATATTTAAAATCAAGAGAACGGAAAAGCGACCAAAAACGCCCCCAAAATATTTCACAAGCGTTCAAGAGGGCGGGGCGCGGGGAACGTCATTTGGGCAAAAAAGAGGCAACCCGCGGCACGCCGCGCGCCTCCGCTCACAGATTTCGAGCACGTTCTTCCAGAATTATCGACGAAAGGGGGGGGGCGGGGGCTCAAAAAGCTACAACAGCCCTCGGGTTTGTCTCCTCCTGATTGTTTTCTTATGAGAAAAAAACCGGGCCGTGTTTATACGGCGAAGCGTGCGTTCGCTCTCGTCAAACTAGAGAGCAGCACTGGAGACGGGAAATTACACACCAAGAACCACAATAAGTCTCTCCGTAAACAAGAGGAGCGAACAAGACGGGAGGGAGGGGGGGGGGGGACGGGGGGGCACCAAAGACCCCCCAAAAA